AGGGAGCACATTTTCTGAGATGGATTTGATGTTGGACAAGAGTTTCCCAACTGACACTCTACCATTTTTGTGTCCTTCCAGCTGTCTCAACAGAGCTCTCATCCTGCTTTAAGTCCTTGGCATTGCTGTTTTGGCTACTATAGTGACTATCTCTGAGGAACAGCACCCAATTTCTCTTTAAAGAATTAGCCTCCCCCATTGTGTATAGTCTTCTTGAAATTGTAAATTGTCATATGTGACTAGTGAGCACTTGAAATCTGGCGAGTGCAACTGAAGAACTGAGTATTTTAGTTAAATTAAATTTTATTTAATAATTATTATAATTTTTTTGAGACAGAGTCTTGCTCTATAGCATAGGCTGGAGTGTCGTGGTGCAATCCTGGCTCACTGCAACCTCTGCCTCCCAGCTTCAAGAAAGAAGGTCCTGCCCTCCCTTAGCTGAGATATAACAAAAACTCTCTCCTTGATTTTAAAAACTTGAGTCAAGTGTCCAAAGAGCAGAGAAATCAATTGGTGCTCACCATTCTTGCTGTGTCATTAAGTTCCTTGGAATGCCCTGGTTTCTGTTCTTTTAACTTAGCCTTGTTATCAAGCCTTCTCATCATCTATGAACTACCCAGTATCCTTCCAAATCACCATTTTGTTTAACAAGTCATTTCAATATCTGGTACCTACAAACAAACAAATGAACAAAAACTAATACTTAATATACCACCTTCATTGTCTCATTGTATAAAACAGTTCCTTCCTGTGCTCACCCCAGATTCTTCTCTAGTTTCTGCACTAGGAAAGTATGCATAGCCATTGCAGTATTTAAAAAAAAAAAAAAAAAGAAACAAAAAGAAAAAAATGCAAGCCACACATGTAATTTTATATTTTCTAGCAGCCACATTTTAAAAAGTACACAGAAACGGATGAAATTAGTTTTAAGGCTATATTTTATTTAAACAAATATATCTTTATTATTATTTAACATATAATATGAAAAAATATTGAGTTTTTTTTTTTTTTAGGGTAAGTCTTTTGAAGTGTGGTATGTATTTTACACTTACAGCACATCTCACTGCAGATGCTAAATTTTGAAAGGTTCAAGTGACATATGTTCCTTCCGAAACAATATAGCCACATAGACAGAAAAATAACTCACACTGTTACTTTTAACATTTAAATTGCTGGGCATGGTGGCTCATGCCTATAATCTCAGCATGTTGGGAGCCCAAGGCAGGCAGATTGCTTGAGGCCAGGTGTTCAAGACCAGCCTGGCCAACACAGCGAAACTCCGTCTCTGCTAAAAATTCAAAAATTAGCCAGGTGTGGTTGTGGGCGCCTGTAATCCCAGCTACTCAGTAGGCTGAGGCATGAGAATTGCTTGAACCCAGGAGGCAGAGGTTGCAGTGAGCCAAGATCGTACCACTACACTCCAGCCTGAGCAACAGAGCAAGACTCTGTCTCAAAAAAATAATAATATTAAATAAAAATTTAATTTAACTAAAATATTCAGTTCCTCAGTTGCACTAGCCACATTTCAAGTGCTCACTAGTCACATACGACAAGCATCTATGTACTAGGCACCACACCCTTAGATCTGCTACAGGAGGGAACAGTCACAGGGAACCTTTTCTTGATGGATCCAGTAGTTGGCAGGAATTGGAGGCTTTCATCCTTCCAAAAAATTCCATTATGACAGGACTCAAAACTGTGTGAAGACCTATTTGAAATATTTCTTCCCCAAAAATGATGTTTCTTTGCCTGGGTAACTACAACAGGTTAACACACTATTGATTGTGAGATCTATCCTCTGTGCTCTGCAATTCAGGTACATAGAAAGATCAAGGAATTATCTTGTCAGGTAGTTTTCAAAATTAAAAATACATAATTACTCTTAAATCACTTATCATTTATAACATGTTGAGGGGTGGGAAGAGACTTGGAGGACTCATTTTAATTATAAGGATTTTCACTATCAAATAGAAAATAGAATTTTGAGTGGCAGGTTGAAGATGTTGAACTTTATCTCTCAGACAATAACAGATATTGTAAATTTTAGAGTGAAAGAATAACATAATAATGTCAATGTTTCAGGAAAACAAATCAGAATCCAGACTGGTACAACAGGAGTCCATAGAGAAGGTGTGGCGCTTCTAGCATCCTTAGATGATAGATATATGCTCTTATTTCTGCCGGGAATGCTGTTTTCCTCTTCTGAAGCTGATAAGACATGTGTTCATCCTAGTTCGGTTGCCCCTTAGTTTTCCAAGTGCAGATGGCAGACTGAGTCACTTCTCCCTTCACCTCTACTCTCACAGCAGTTCTTTGAAAATCCTGCACAAAAGTCAAATTTATAGAGACAAAAAGTAGTCACGAGGGGCTGAGGAATTATTGTTTAATGGGAACAGAGTTTTCGTTTTGCAATATGAAGAGTCCTATGGATGGATGGTCGTAAAAGCAGCACAACAGTGTGAATGATTGGTGGGCCTTTCCCCTGATTAGCTCCTCTCCACGTTTAGGAGCGTCCTCTTTTCCAGGCCAGAATGGTTTAGGTACCCTTGCTGTACCCTTTCATGACCCTCATACTTTCCTTACCGGGCTCTCATCACAACTGTCATCTACAGCTAATTCTGTGGTATATTAGTCTGCCAGGGTTACTGTAAGAAAACACTACGGATTGGGTGCCTTATACAGACTGGGTGTGATTTTCTCACAGTGCTGGAGACTAGAAGTCTATGATCAAGGTGTTGGCAGGTTTGGTTTCTCCTGAGGCATTTTTTTTTTAATTTATTTATTTATTGGCTTTCAGATAGTCTTTCCTTTATGCAAACACAATCTTGGTGTCTGTGTCCAAATTTCCTCTTCTTATGAAGACATCAGTCAGACTGGATTAGGGCTCACCCTAAGGGTCTTGTTTTTGGTTTTTGTTTTGTTTTTGAGACGGAGTCTCGCTCTGTCGCCCAGGCTGGAGTGCAGTGGCGCGATCTCCGCTCACTGCAAGCTCCGCCGCCTCCCGGGTTATCGCCATTCTCCTGCCTCAGCCACCCTAGAAGCTGGGACTACAGGCGCCCGCCATCACGCCTGGCTAATTTTTTTGTATTTTCAGTAGAGACGGGGTTTCACCGTGTTCGCCAGGATGGTCTCGATCTCCTGACCTCGTGATCCGTCCGCCTCGGCCTCCCAAAGTGCTGGGATTACAGGCGTGAGCCACTGCGCCCAGCCAGGGTCTTGTTTTAATCACCTCTTTAAAGGTTCTGTCTCCAAATACACTCACATTCTGAGGCACTGGGAGTTGGAACTTCAACATATGAATTTTGGGGGATGCAATGAGGCTTGTGATTAACCTCTACTGTTTCCACTTGTTAAACTTTATAACACCAGGGACTTTGTCTTGTTCATATTTCAGGACCTTTACCGTTGCTGCTGTCTTCGGAGCACACTACCTCCAACTCTTCATACAACAGGTTTTTCTCAACTTTCAAGCCTTAGCACCACCATCTGACAAGGGCCATTCCAGACCACCTTGTCTAAAGTAACCCTAAACGTTACTCTAGGGGTCACAACACTGTTTCCTCTATTTCACGGCAGTCACCACTTACTTATGTCCAGAATATCAGCTTCAGGAAAGATGAGGATAGGTGTTTTTACACGCTATTATACCCCGGCATCTCACACACAGTCACAAGTGAATAAGATTCCGTAGCCACTTAGTACATTACAATGATTTTATTTACTCCTGGGAAAACCTCAAGGGCTTTTAACATCCAAATCGGTGTTTGAATTTCAGCTCTAACATGGATTAGCTGTGTGAATTCCACCAAGTCCCTTACCCGCTCTGTGTCTCAGAATTCCTAACAACACGATGACAATACCTTCTTTCCGGTTCTTAGGGAAATTAAGCGAACTAATTACCCATAAGGTGACCAGGTCAAGAATCTGACATAAAATCTATGCTATCAGCTGAAATGCTATTAGCTTGAGGGTGTTCCAAAGCGTCGGACCTGGGAATGATTTTTGAAAACGTGTTTAGTTGGTACCCAGAGCATTAAACACCAGGGTATGAATGCCACTCTATTTTCAGTGGTTTTTAAAATTCTTTTTTGTTTTGTTTTTGAAACAAAGGCTTGCTCTATAGCCCAAGGTGGTGTCCAGTGGTGGGATCTCAGCTCACTGCAGCCTCGACCTCCCGGGTTCCAGTGATTCTCCAGCCTCAGCCTCCCAAGTAATGGAGACCACAGGTCCGTGCCACCACACCCACCTATTTTTTTTTTTTTTGGTAGAGATAGGGTCTCACTATGTTGCCCAGGCTGGTCTTTTCAATTCTTTAGATCAAAACCAAGCCTTCTTCTCATTCAGGTGTCTTTGGCACCCATCCCTGCCTCCATCCCTTGCAGTTTCTTCAGATTCTTCTGTTTAGCAGGGATCACTCGGCCAGACACGCACCGGCAGCAGCCCGGGGATGAAGCCAGCCCGCCTGGGGTGGCCCCCGCCACGCTCCCCGGGACTCAGGGCTGCTGTAAGGAAAGCAGCAACTCGTAGGGTCCTGGTGAAGAGCAAACGACCTGGCCCCTGCACAGGGACCCAGAACACAGGAAGCCCGCCATCCACGTTAGGAAAACAATACACGTGGGTAACCAGACCCAGGCGGGTGGCACGCGTGACGCAAACCTGTGAGGCTGGCGAGGACTACTGAGTCTGAAGGGAGTCTCTGAGGAAGGGAGTCCCTGAGCGAGGATGGGTCCCCGAGGGGGCCAGGCCGACGTCCCGGAAAGGCGGCCCCCGGCTCGGGGAAGCCAGGCTCTGGGTCCTCCTCTGACTTTGGCCTTTTTGGGATCTGCCGCGCTCATCCCCGCGCCACCGCGCCGCGCGCTTACCCCACCCTCTCAGTCACCAGAGCGCCCGCTGAGTGGCCGCGCCGGCGCGCGACACGCAGCGGCGGGGCCGCGGGGCGGAGCGGGGCGGTGCGCTTTACGAGAGCGACGCAGCTGCGCACGCGGCTCCGCGCATGTGCAGTGAGGCTCGCGGCCGGAGTGCGGCGCTGGGCGGAAGCCACCATGGCGGCCGAGCGGAAGACAAAGTTGTCTAAGAATCTGCTGCGCATGAAGGTGCGGGGACACTGAGAGAGCCATGCCGGGCGGTAGGGGCACCCGATCGTTCCGACCTGGCCAGGGCCGAGGCGGCGGGCGAACGAGGGACACCAGAGGGGCCTCAGAGGGCTTCCAGCTCTCGTGCTCATTCATTCACTTAGCGCCTGCTCTGCACTGTTTACTGGGAACCGGGTTACGAATTAGGCCGACTCTCAGGAGGCCCACGGGTGGATGGGAGCTCGCATACACAGGAGCAAGCAGTCAGGGTACAGCTTACCAAGTGCAGTGAGGGTAGAAGCGCCGGAGCCCTGGGAACTCACCCAGCTTCTCGCGGGGTAGTGGTCCCTTTAGGTTCCTGGGAGGGTGGGAGGCACAGCGTCCTAAACTAGGAGAAACCTGAGTTCAGAAGTCCACGAGGCAAGAAAGAAAAAGAAAACCATGGAGATTTCCAAGAATGAGAGGTAATTCAGTATGTCTGGAAGGCAAGTACTAAGAAATGGGGTTGCAGAGTAGGCAGTGGTCACAACGTGCAGGAAATTTGAGGCCAGATTAAGGATATTTTCCTTTATTTTGTGAGCAATGGAAAGCTATTGACACGGGGAACAGTATAAAAAAATAGCAACTATTTATAGTACTAGACAATGTTTTAAGGGGTTTGCGTATATTAACCTGTGCAATTCACATAATGACACTTTGAGGTGACTACAGGCAATAACTCTTTTTTTACAGTTAAGGCAACTGAAACAGAAATAAGAAACTTACTCAAAGTCGCACAGCTAATAAGTAGTGTAGACAGGACGGGAACTCAGGCAGTCTTGCTCCAGAACCCTGGCTCTGTGTTACTTACTCTGTGATGCCTGTCACTGAGCACTACTTATAGAGGGTAGCAAACTGTTACATGTCATGTTTAAAGAGGTCGAATTTCCAAAAGAAGGAAGGAAGCGTTCATAATGTTTTGAAAGATTGGAGAGAGAGGCCATTCGCAGTGGTTCATGCCTGTAATCTCAGCACTTTGAGAGGCTGAGGTAGACAAATCGCTTAAGCCCAGGTGTTTTAAGACCAGCCTGGGCAACATGGTGAAACCTCATCTCTACAAAAGATACAAAATATTCGTTGGGCCTTGTGGCACGCACCTGTAGTCCCAGCTATTTGGGAGGCTGAAGTGGGAGGATCACTTGAGCCTGGGAGATCGAGGCTGCAGAGAGCTGAGATGGTGCCACTGCACTCCAGCCTGGGTGACAGAGGGAGACCCTGTCTCAAAAAAAAAAGAGAGTAAACATTACATGGGCAAGATTTGAATGGAGTTGAGCTAGGATGGAATTAGGAATGAATGGGTGAATGAGGATGCAGGACAAATTACATCTAACTTAGAGTTTGTCAAGCACTTTCATGCATATTAGGAAAATTTGAATCTTTACTGAACAGAGTTTGCTTTTGATTTTATGATTTGTAATAACATTAATTTCAGAGAAGTGGAGTGAACTGGCCAAGCAGATATTGAAAAGATTTTAGCAGTTGTTTTAGCTCTTGGAATAAGCCAGATGATGTACTGGGTGACTCAGGCTCAAACTAAATATCTGAGTTGCAACTAAGAAGGAAGAAATTAACTTAAAACAAGTGTCCACTCCCACCAAATGGGGAGACGCAACTGGACATTGGAAGCAAAGGAGAAGGAAAAAGATCACCCAGATTCTGTATTTGGTTTAGCAGTTTTGGTCATTGATGAGAAAAAACTTACTGGCAAGATAGCAGGAGACACTATCTATACTGATAGAAAAGAGTATACTGTGAGAAGGCATGGAACAGCTGCACTTAGGGTGCCTTAACCAGAGCTAAGTCCTATATAACATGGGTCCCCAACCACTAGGCCACGGAGCAGCACCAGTCCATGACCTGTTAGGAACGGGCTGCTCAACAGGAGGCGAGCAGCAGGCAGCAAGCGAGTGAAGCTTCATCTATATTTACAGCTGCTCCCCATAGCTTGCATTACCACCTGAGCTCCGCCTCCTGCCAGATCAGTGGCAGAATCCTAGATTCTCCTAGGATCAAAAACCCTACCGTGAACTGCACCTATGAAGGATCTACCTTGAGCTCTACTTATGAGAATCTAATACCTGATGATCTGTCGTTGTCTCCCATCACACACAGATGAGACTGTCTAGTTTCAGGAAAACAAGCTCAGGGCTTCCACTGATTCTACATTATGGTGAGTTGTATAATTATTTCGTTACATATTATAATAATAGAAACAAAGTGCGCAATAAATGTAATGCACTTGAATCATCCCTAAACCATCTACCCCTCCCCTCTCCACCACCCATGGAAAAATTGTCTTCCAGGAAACCCATCCCTGGGGACCACTTTTTAGGGCAAGTATGAGAGGGTTGAGGATTTAATCCTGACTCACTTGAAGGCCTCTGACTTGGTCAGCCATTGCAGGATGATCCCGATGGGAAGCAGAAAAAGAAAGATGTGGATGGAAGGTCTTCCAGTATGGAATGGTTGTAGAAAGGGTGCTTATTTGTGATTTTAGTACTGTTAGACTTTTAGAACAGGGCTTGGCAAGCTTTCTGTAAAAGACCATATAATAAATATTTTGGGCTTATGAGCCAGACAGTCTCTGTTACAACTACTCAGCTCTGCCAGTGTTGTTTGGGACAGGATGACCATGGCTGTATCAACAACAACGGACATCTAGCCTGAGGACCATATTGTGCTGTTGCCTGCTGTGAGTCCCCACTGGTTTTGGAGTGTGTTCTGAAATGCCCTAGAGTAGGAGAATCGAACTTCTACCTAAGTCTGGAGGTGCTTGATTCATATTCACAGGGAGTTCTATCCTTTCTGTGTGTACAGAACATATGTATATGGCTATTTTGTATACCAAAGGAATAGGTACATGACTAAATAGGAGAAATAAGGGCAGTTGGGTGGTATTGATGAGTTTTACCACGAGGCATATTAGTGATGAAATGAGGTATATGCACTTAAAAAAAACCATCCCAGAAAGAGAGTCTGGAAAAATAAGACAAGTCTAGGTTCATTTACATTCAGAGAACCTTCATTGAGTGAGCTCTTGTGTACCAAGGGTGCCGCCTAAGTACCAATGATACAAGATGAACAAGAGTCATGGTCTATTCAGAATCATAGTCTTGGGAGACACCAAAGCAGCATGATGGTGAACAATAATCCAGTGTTTATCAGGCTGTCTTGGGAAGGTGCTTCTTTATAGGAGCAGGCCTGGGAAGAGCCAAGCCAAATGCCAGCCAGGGAAGTCTTACCAAAGGACACATGCTGTGGGCCTAAAAGAGTAAATATTTTGCCAGACAGAAAATGGAAACATGTTGTTAAGTCGCAAAGGCAAAAGGACCGGGAAATATAGTGTGCACGTTCCAGAAACTACAGTTCTTTCCTGGGATGAGGATATAGGCACAGGTAAAATGGATGAGGACTGCAAAACACTAGTCTGCAAACTTGTTTTCTTTTACTTTTTATTTAAAATAGTGATAGATTCACAGGAAGTTGCAAAAAGTATACAGGGATATCCCGTGCATCCTTCATGCCACCTCCCCCAGCGGCAACATTTTATAACACTAGAATACAATAAAGAGCCAGGACATTGACAGCGAGCTTACTCAGATTTCACCATTTTACATGCGCTCACTTTGCGTGGACAGTTGCTGGGTCATATGGTAAGTGTATGTTTAGTTTGCTAAGAAACTGCCACGCTGTTTTCCACAGTGGCTGTACCATTTACTTTCCTACCAACAATGTTTGAGTGCAGTTTCTTCACACTATCATCAGTGCTTGATGTTATCACAGTCATGTGGTACTTAACAACAGGGATACATTCTGAAACATGCATTGTTAGGTGATTACATCATTGTGAGAGCATCATAGAGTTCACCTACACAAACCTGGATGGGGTAGCCTACCACACACCTAGGCTGTATGGTACAGCCTGATGTTCGTAGGCTACAAACCTGTACGGCATGCTACTGTACTAAATACTGTAGGCAGTTGTAACAGTGGTATCTGTGTATCTAAACATATCTAGATATACAAAAGTTACAGTAAAAGTGCAGTATTGTAATCTTATGGGACCACCATCATATATGGGTTCCATCATTGACCAAACATCATTTTGCAGCACATGACTATTTTATTCATGAACATTCTTAAGGTTTTTTTCATTTAACTTAGTAGTCATTGTTAAAGCCCTTATGCCTAAAGAGGCTTATGTTTGGAAGAGCTGGAATAGAAGGAGAAGAAATATGGGACCTGGGCCGGGCGCAGTGGCTCACGCCTGTAATCCCAGCACTTTGGGAGGCCGAGGCAGGTGGATCACAAGGTCAGGAGTTCGAGACCAGCCCGGCCAATATGGTGAAACCCCCGTCTCTACTAAAAATATAAAAATTAGCTGGGCATTGTGGCAGGCACGTAATCCCCGCTACTCGGGAGCTGAGGCAGGAGAATCACTTGAACCTAGGAGGTGGAGGTTGCAGTGAGCCGAGATCATGCCACTACACTCCAGCCTGGGCGACAGAGCAAGACTCTGTCTCGAAAAAAAAGAAATATGGGAACTGAATAAGGGAAAGAAATGGGGATACATAGAAACCAGTGGAACCTGAAACCTAACTGCTAGGAGGCTCCTGGGTATTTTCATATTTTATTTTCTTCAGTGTTGATATTTTATCATTTTGCTGTGTTTAGCCTCTTAAGTTTGTTCACTTATTCCCTGAAGAAATACAGGTATTCATGCTAATGAGAGACTGGCAGCAGCACTGTTATTTACTGCCATATTTTGAGTCAAGTTTCTGCAGATTTGATAATAAGAACAGCTGAAGAGTTTAGCAGCATTTCAGAGGAAAAATAAAAATGAAGAGCAGACTTATAGACGTACCTTTGCTTCTGTCTACATTTATCGGGCTCTTACTGTGCTTCAGTCATCATATTGGGATAGATGAAGGAGATGACCCTGACACCCAGTCCTTAAGGTCTCCAGAAGAGATAGATGCCCAAAAGTTAAGATGTGGTGAGTCTATTGGAGGAGCCTTGGAAGCATTTAGGAGAGAGACACTAATTTTACTGGCACTCACAGAAGTGTGGTAGCTTTACCTATGTCAGACGGGCGAGGAGTTGGCCAGGTGAAAGAGGATAAGAAGAGCATTTCAACCCCAGATCAGCAGGTGCCAAAGCCAGTGGGCTCTGTGGGTGAGCGCAAGACCTTCGAATGTGATGTCTTAGCCCTTAAGTTTTTTGGAGGAAACATACATTGTGCATTTTCTCATGCCCTGACACAATCCCTCATCATTTAGTGTAAAGTTAGAAGGGTAGAGCTAAACCATTTGATCACTTGCCCCAACCCTCAATCTTGAGATGGGTTCCATAGATAAATGAGGGAGAGCACATAGAAGAAAATTATTTGGGGTTTCCTCATTTCTAAAATGGGAAAAGTTTCTGACATTGATTTTGTTTGTTTTCACAGTTTATGCAAAGGGGACTGGACTCGGAAACCAAGAAACAACTAGAAGAAGAAGAAAAGAAAATCATTAGTGAAGAACACTGGTACTTGGATTTGCCAGAGCTTAAAGAAAAAGAGTAGGTTTATTCAAATTTATACTGACAATGGTTGGGGCGTTCAGAAGGAAACTCCTGGTAAATTTAACTCATCATTCCCGTGACATAAAGCCCATGAAATAGTTTCTGTTCAGTTTATTGAGTTAGCAGCACAACTAAAAAATATTAAACCTATAAAAGTTGTACATGGATTTATACATTTTTACTACTCCCCCTCCCAGCCACTGTTTATCACATTGTCCTTTTTTACGTTGAATAAAGGAACCTAGCCCACGTCTCTGATAGTAACAGCAGACCTTTTAGGGAAGCTATAATGTTCTCTCTATCACCTTAAGTTCTAAAGATTAGGTGTGTACTTCAGACCTCTCCAGTTTTGTTTCAATTACAGAGTTCATTAGGTTGAGCATTTTAAGGCAGGTCAGGAGTTTTTGTTTCTTTTTTTAAAATTGTTATTACTTGTAATACCATCCATTTTAACTAACATTTACTGAATCTATAGTGTGTACCAGGAACTGGGCTAAACACTTTACATCCTTAGTTATTGAATCTTCATAGCAAACTTAGGAGCTGCCTCCTATCATTCTGTCCCCTTTGGAGTTGAGGAACTGAGCTTAAGGGAGGGTAACTTGCCCAGGTTCACCCAGCTAGTCACTGCTGAAGCTGGGGTAGACGGTTTCTGGCCCCAAGCTTGGCTGGTGCCTGATCAACAATTTTGAGTGAAGGAGTGATGGATTTATTTCATCCATTAATTTAGCTGAATCCTTCTGGAAGCTATTTTTCATTTTTCCCGGATACTTTCCTTACCATTAGTAAGCTCTGTGTTGTGGTAGTTTTACTTAAACTTTGTTCAAATGACTGAAGATGCTGCTCACTATCTTGAGGCACATTTATGTCTTTCCATCCTGTACCTGATGTTTGGGCTTTGATTTGGAGTGTTATATTCCCTTGTTCATATGGCTGAGCTCTGGACCTTGTTTGAAGGTTAGATACCCTTCTCTAAAGGTAGAAAGTATGTCCCACCAGGAGGGATGGGGGGAAGGTACTTTTTTTCTCTACTTCTTGGAGGAAGCATGATGTTAGTGAGGAGGGAGAAGATAATGCCAGACGCAGGGTCACGGGGAGGAAGGGACCTTTGCTGCTGAGGAGCTATCATTTAATTTTATGTGTTAACTCAACTTGCCAAAGTGTTCCTTCCAGTTGTTTATTGAAAGAGCAGGACTGTTTCTGTCTTGTTTCCAGATTTTTCCCCCAAATACAGCATATTGTTCCCAGAAAATGACCTTTACATTTCTTCCTGGGACGGTAAATAATAATTGTTTGCCATTACTCAGCATCCTGTTTATGTATAGGTGTGTATATCAGCTCAGGATGTTGGCAGAAAAAGATGACACTCTCAGACTGAGGAGAGACTATCAAGGTGTGGGTGGGGCAGAGGGGAGCCCCTCGGGACAGTGCAGTACCTCCTAGCATGTGTAGTGGGAATGATTACTACCTGAGCTTGCAGAGTCAAGGGGTGGGTGGGGAATGGCTGCTACTGAATCTGGAGATAAGCTGTGTAGAGAGAGCACCTTACAGGAGCTGCTACCTCTATTCAAGGGTACAGCCAGCCCAAGGTCATCCTAGCAAGGGAGCCAGGTACCTGGCAGCAAAGGAGCCCTTCCGTGCATTACATTCAAGTCAGCCTCCCAGGCCAGAGAACAGGGCTGAAGATGGGAAGTAAGTCTGGAGGGGTAAATGGATGACATATCCTTGGTATATGTGTTGTATTGTAGTTGTTGTTGTTTTTAACACTCTAAATAGGGAGATCATGGAAGGGATTGGTTGATTAAGCACATGGGCTCTGAAGTCAGGCAGACCTGGGTTTGATGCCCAGCTCCGCCACTTGTTTACTTATCACCTTGGGTGAGTTACTTAACCTGTTTTGTGTCATTTGTATATTGGGTATGATGATAGATAGTACCTGTCCAGTGCATTCCGAGAAGTAGATGAGGTAATATATGTAAAACAGTCACTATAGCGCCAGGCGTAAAGCACAGTGATTGTCGCCGTTGTGTGCTTTTCCTTATACCTCAGTATATGAAGTACGCCCATTCCTTTCTACTGTCTTATGTTTGTGCATCCTTTTTTGCTAGTGTTAATCTGAACTATTCTGTGAAGTTGGAGATTGCATGTGTCTATGCTCTGAAAGTCTCAAGTTTCCCGTTTTTAATGTCAGCCGTATCAGTTTGTAATTCAGTGAAGATAATTAGGACTATTCAGTGTTAACACTGCCTCACAGAGGACACCTTTAACCGGTGGCTAGACTGTGTAGGGGAATGATGATCTAGCTGCCGTGCCTCAACTTGGAACAACTGAAGGACTTTCCTGACTCCAGAGCTCTCCTATGTGGCTGAGGCCTTAGTGTAGCCACATTGCACATCATCTTCTCCCTCTGCCCAGTCCTCCTGTCTGTTTTCCTAGAAGGGCATCTGCTGAACAACACTACCTGCTAAGTTTTCTGCATATAACTCTGTCTCAGAGTCTGTTTCCAGGGAACCCGATATAGTGTGAATTCCTAGGAGTGAAATTTACCAGATCAAAGATTTTGCTATGTATTGCCATATTGTTTTTCCCCCAAGGATATGGTCCAGTAAGAGTGTGCAGGTATAGGCAGTTTTATTACCCCTTTGCCGTAGCAAGTTGTTTAAGAAGTATTTTTGACTATTGTGCGTCTTATGCTTGTATTTTGTGGTATATTTGAATTCAGAAGCTATAGGGACCTGAAACTAACAAGTTAGCCTGCCACACTTCCACTGATGCTGGTGGAAGATAGGAGCCTTCTAGGTCTGAGATGTAGGGGAGGGACAATATCCTTTCCTTCCAACCATTTGAAATTCATTAGTTGGGGTCCCTGTAACAAAAGACAGATTAACAAGAGAAAGGTGTACACTTTTATTTCACAAAAGTTTTAGGTGACACAGGAGCCCTCATAAGAAAATGAAGACTGAAGAATTGATTGAACCTGAGTGTTTTTATGTTAGGTTTGATGAAGAGTAGAAAGTTGTGAAGAAATATGATAAGACCAAGGGGTATGAGCGAAGAGTAATAAACCAGGAGAAACTTAGCAAGTCTTTTGTTCACATTCCCCTCTGTGTCTCTTCTTCTGAGATAAGGATGTTGCTTTCCTCTGAGTGTAGGGAGGGCACCTCTCATGTGAGTTTTATGACCTGCTTCAGGGGACAGTCAGAAAATCCTACCTGCACGTCATTTTTCAGATTCCTTCAACATAAAATTTTCAGTATGCCAAGATGCCATATTTTGGGGGTAGTGTATCCTGAACACCATCAGAGACAAAGGACTTACTGCACAGCAAGCAGCCCAAGCATCAAGTTTGCATCATTTCTCTTTTGTCCCCAAGTCCTATGAGGGATGGCATTAAGTGGCCCAGGTGGATGCTGTGAACCCAGTGGATTTGCATCATAGCTGAGATCTCCTGATCCTAGAAAACTGGAACTCTGGGTAATGGACCACAAGCAGACTTGCCTTCAGCCCCAAAAGAGGCATCGGCATTATGCTGGACAGTGAGCAAATCTGCCCTTTGCTTTAGAGGAAGACTGTTTTTCAAGGCTGCTTGCTATGCAGATATCCTTGCAAAGATAGCCCAGAACAAACAGGCAGTTAGTGCCTCACTCAAAAAATGTGCAGGAATGTGAGACCCACTGAGAGGGAGGGTTTTCTAACTGGAGTTTTGCCATGCTATTTGTGGCTTTAGGCAAGTGCAGCTTTTTCTCAGCAGTAGTTTCTCATCTGCGAAATTTATGAAATAGATCATTTTGTGTGTTTTAGCCCTAAAATTATAGAACCTCATTAATGAAAATTGGATAATTAAAATATAAAAACGGTTACGTTTTGAAGTATTTCACTTGCTTGCCAACTCTATAATTAATTTTTCTAATTCTTAAAACCATGCATGTAGATACAAAACACCTGTGCTCCTTTGTATATTAAAGTTACGGTGTCAGTGCAGAGCCGTGGGAAAGACCTCTGAGGGGCCAGCAGTCCTGCTCTGAATCCAGTCCTGGCCTCTGGAGGTTGCCTTTCTCTGGGTCCCTCATTTATCTTAAGTGAAAGCTTTGATGTGTGGTGTTTTCCCTAGAGAGGTGATTTACTTTGGAATTGAGGAGGTCTCATCAGCTGCTCACTCTATAAGGAATAAGATTGGGCAATTGAGAAGGTATCCCAAGTTCGTAGAAAAAGCTGAACAGCAAGTTCTGTGCCCAAATTTAGATTCCCTCTGGGAGAGGCATTTCTGAAGTAAGTGAGGTGCTGGCTAGACTAGAGGGCCAGTGAGAGAGGAACCAAAATCACAGTGGTTCTCAAAGTTTTGGAACTCAGAAGCTATTTGCATTTATAAAAATTATTTAGAACTCCTAGGCCGGGCACGGTGGCTCAATCCCAGCACTTTGGGAGGCCGAGGCAGGCAGAACACGAAGTCAGAAGATTGAGACCTGGCTAACATGGTGAAACCCCGTCTCTACTAAAAATACAAAAAAAAAAATTAGCCAGGCTTGATGGCACGTGCCTGTAGTCCCAGCTTCTCAGGAGGCTGAGGCAGGAGAATCCCTTGCATCCGGGAGGCAGAGGTTGCAGTGAGCCGAGATCGCGCCACTGCACTCCAGCCTGGGCAACAGAACGAGATTCCATCTCAAAAAAAGTTACTTAGAACTCCTAGAGAGTGTTTTGTGTGGTTTATATTTGTCAATATTTACTATATAAGAAATTTTTTAAATTATTTAAATATTCATTTAGAAAACAAACTCATTACCTAACATTTTTAATGAAAAATAACTTTTTTAAGACAAAATATTTAACGAGAAGAGTGGCACTGTTTTCTGTTTTTGCAAATCTCTTTAACATTCTGGCATATTAGAAGACAGCTGGACTCTGAACGCCTGCAGTCAGCCTGTTAAAGCATGTTGTTTTGGTTGAAGTATATAAAGAAAAGCCACCCTCACACAGGTGATACGGTTGAAGAGAGAGGA